TACAACCTCAGGTTCACCCCCTCTTTTTTAAAATTTCATAATCAGATTTCTACTATATTAAACTAATCTTATTCTATTAGCAAGACAACATACTCCTTACACTCAGATCAGATATTTTTCACTCTGTGTTGGCATGTACACATTTTATAACACTTTGGACTTTAGTTTATGCCGAGAATCTAAACCGTAGCTCTGATACCATTAAATGTAACACCCCAACCCGTATCCGATCCGAGAAGCGTCACATTGACTTTTCAAAACCTTAACTTGTATAAAATAGTGAGTAATTTAAAATTTATTATTACATATAACTTATTCAAAACCTTTATCGAACTATTCTAGCTTATACAATTATTTTAAATACATCCAACTAGAACTTTATGTATTAAAATACATATTATTCACCTTTTTCTGATGACATTTGGTAAGGAGAACTGACTTGTCTTGCTCCACATTGCTCTTTACTCTTCTAACTTCGTTAACCTACGTGTGAAACAATCACACGCTAAGTCGATGACTTAGTGAGGCAATAAACATAAAATATAAACTATAGCTTGTAATCATGCATGAACAATTACTGCTATCACCTCATACCCAACATATCCATTCATATAACAAATCCACACATGCATATAATTATCTTATACTCTATCATTATCATATTATTATCATTCACATTTCTATTATGTTCATCATATATCTTATAACATATACAATAATCATTAAACTGCTATCACCTCATACCCAAATATATCCATTCATATAACAAATCCACACATGCATATAATTATCTTATACTCTATCATTATCATATTATATCATTCACATTTCATTATGTTCATATCATATATCTTATAACATATACAATAATCATTAACACACATATATCATATCATATAATTCATGTCACAAACACATATTTTATCACATACATTGTATCAATGTTATCTCTATTAGCCATGTACACCTGTGAGAATGTAGATATGTGAGTCTATTGATTTGTGTACTATGCTGTCACCACAGCTCGTAGGGGTCCTACTAGGGGCTATGAAATTTGTCTTGAAGGACCTATGAAATCCCGAAGGATCACTGTATATCCCGAAGGACCGCGTAGACCATCGACTCTTGGCATGCTGACTATACCTATAGCTCTCGTATCATATAACATGGGCATTTTCACTTTATCATTTCACATGTGAATAAGCTCATAGCTTCTTTCACATATACATGTAACCACATAGCTTCTTTTCATATTCTCATAAGATTTAGCTCATATCTTATACGTTTTCTCAGGTTCACATATAACATGTCATATGGCTCATATCTTTCTCATGCAGTCATATAGTTCAATTTCTCATATGTTCGTATATATACATCACATAGCACATACTTCTCATATTCTCACAATCAAAAACATGTTAACACATATAATCCATATACATACAATTCAAGTTATTCATATACTTATAATCATATATTCATGCATTCTAACATAGGAAATAGACTTATCACAAGCCTTGTTTCCATTTAGCACCATAAACTAACTACTATGCACTCACCTGAGCCTCACAAAGATCCAATCCACTTTATGATTCGATCGAATCTTGACTTGATAATCGTTGGGACTTGTTCGTGATACATACATGATACATATATCCAATTGATATACACTAATCTCATTTCTTAGACCAAAGAAAGGTATAATTCTATTTCCCTTGAAGTGCATCGATTCATTCAACAATGCATCGATGCACCAATCACCTTCGATGTTTTCATTTTAAGGGGATGCATCGATGCACTCCTTATGCATTGATGCACCAATTATATTCGATGTTTCCATTAATATGGGTGCATCGATGCACTCCCTGTGCATCGATACACTCTGTACAAATTCTGAAAATTTACCCTTGATGCATCGGTGCACCCTTGAATGTGCATCGATGAACATAGCCCAAAATTCATTTTAAATCCCGAAAATCTACTCAAATCGACTCAAATGCTTCATTTTTCATCCCCTTTCATGTTCTCAACTCATATACACATGCTTAAACCAATTTATACCCATATAAACCATCTTTAACTTCAAAATTTTATTCCTCATATGTAACTCAGGAATTGAACCAACTTTGCAATATGTTTTAATTCACATTCTATGGCTTCTAACTTTTTAATTAGACCCTTGACAAGTCAAATTTAACTTCCAACTTCAGTTATGAACTTTATTTGAAGATTTCACCCAAGAATATCAAATCTTTAATCCCTCCTAACTCCATCATACTTTGATTTTAAGATAACTTAAGCTTTCAAGCTTAGTTTATATCATCTAATCATCAAACCTAACTTAAAATCAACAATTAATCCATAAATAAGAAACTCACCTTTGAGCTTTGAGATACGGTGGAGAAAGAAGACTCTGGATAATCTCTCTTTTCCCACGTGGTTCCTTATCTTATAAAAGGAATATAAAAATCTTCCATGTCAATTGATTATTTTACCCTCTATTCATTCAATAATTACTAAATAACCTTCATCATATTTCCAATAAATCATTGAACTATTGAATTATCCCACTTTAATCACCAATTCCTAAAATTGTACAATTTGGTCACTAACCCGGTATTGAGGATGTTACATAGTTGCTTTAAGACATCCCCTTTCTTAATATTAAAAAATAAATAAATATTATTATTTAATATATATATTTATGACTAATAAAAAATAAAATAATCATTAAATTAATTAAATTGAACATAAAAAGGTAATAATAAAATTAAATTACAATTGAATAATGATCAAATAAATAAAATTAAAATTATAGGATTAAAATATAAAATATTGAAATTAGAGATACTAATTCAAAATATTGTGAGAGATAATGGTTAACAGTGTAATTTAACCTAATTAACTATTCGGGATTAAAATAAAAATTAATTAAAACATGAGGGACTAAATCTGGTATTTACCCTAAATATATATAAATACTGATAGTGACTGAATTATAAATAAAATAAAATTGAAATACCGAATTAAAAGATATAAAAGTTGATTTCAATGACCAAAATAAAAGTTTACAAACTTCAGGGACTGCGTACGAGGTTTCCCATGCGGGAAATTACACAGGTACCCCCCAAAACGGCGTCGTTTGGAGAGGGGTTTAAGTACCCTTTTAACCGACTCTTTGGAGTCATTTTCCTTATTTGGTTCTCTCTTTAAGGAGAGAACACTCTCCCTTCTCTCTAGTTTTCCCTCACCGGAGGGACGACGGTTGTCGGCCGACAGCCGCACGCTGCCGTCAAAACCGCAGCCGGCCACCACCGTCGGTGGCTGAAAATTTCCAAATTACCCTATGATATAGATCCCGTCGTTATGAGGCCGAATCCGACCTCCGTTTCAAAGGCCTCTGATATTGGTAAGTCTCTTCCTCTGCTCTTGGTTATTTTTCTTTGCTTTATGTATGGTGGTTTTCTGTTGTTGGCGTTGTTTGTTGTTGGGTGTTCTTTCTCTCTTTCCTTTCGATTTGCTGCTTTGGGTTTATTTTTTTCGCTGCTGTTGGTTCCTCCCCTTCCTAGTTTGCAGATTCGGTGGTCGTTTTTATAGCCACCACAAAACCTCCTTCGGACCGGATAATATGGTGGTTTTTCGGTGAGTCACCAAACTATGGTGGTGATTCACCATAGAGCTTCAATGTGGACGGTCATCTTCAAGTCTTCTGGAAGCTCCTGTTGAAGCGTGACAGCGGCTGGTGGTAGCAGAGGAGATGAAACAGTGGCAGCAAAGGAGGCGGCGACGTGGCCCTAGGGTGATGATACCTTAGGGTTTCATCTGGAACCATGTGGGCCATGTGGGCGGTTGGATCTTGGCTGATGATGTTGGGCGGCTGTTGGGATGATACAATCTCTAATTGGGTTTAGGGTTAGTCTTGGTCTGGTTCTGGTTGGGCCTGGAATGGGTCTGGGCATGTAAACAGGCCTCTGGGTCTTGATATGTAAATAGGCTTCAGGTTGTTGTATTTTGGGCATGTAATATAAATTTAATAATAATAATAATAATAATAATAATAATAATAATAATAAAATCATAAATAAAAATAAATGGGCAAAAAAACTAGTGTCTACAGTAATATGGTCAAGTTTATCACTCTATGCCATCATTGTTTATATGTTCTATTCCAGGAATATAGACTTGATTTCTCTGTTACAGTGTATGTAGATTAATCATGCTCATCCTCTGAAACATAGTTCATTTCAGGTGAGACACATGCATGAATGAGGCTGGTTATGAGATTGGAAATGCCACCTCAATTCTTCAAAGACTAAACCGAGCCTACACAAGGAGGCTAGTCTGAGCTGCTAGTAGCCGACCCCCCCTGTTGTAAAATCTTAAGGCTAGACTCATGGAGTAACATCGGTAGTAAAAGAGAATGTTGTAAAATAGACGAGTTTAAAACCTAATGAATAGTCGGGTGACATTTTGTAACTTTTAATAGTTAGGGGACTCGACAAAACAACTCGTTATTGTTAAAAAGATTATTTTGTAACTTTTAATAGTTGGGACTCAACAAAATAACTCCCTATTGTCAAATGATCATTTTGTAACTTTTAATAGTAAAAAAATTTAACAAAGCAACGCATTATTATATAGTTAGGGGATTATTTATGAATTTTACCCTTTCAAATATTGGTCGTTGAACGTAAAACTTCCCACTACAAGAAAATCTGTAAATGGACGAATTTCTGGCTCTTTTTTAAAAGGCATAATGACTTTTTACCCTTAAACTTTACAACGTTTTTCATTGTAGTCCTTATTTTTTCCCATATCTTTTGACACTGGGATTCTCAATTTTTGTCAGATTGGCAAATTCCGACGGAGCTATTTTGCTGACTTAATCTATTTTGTCCTTTCGATAATGAAGAGGGTGTTTATTATTATTTGTTATTATTTATATATATTTTTGGTGAATGAAAGAGTAAAGCTTCTAAAACTAAATCAAAACTCCATCTTCATGGAGCAGTCTTCTCACGTCTGGTTGTGGTGTGGGGAGACAGTACACCTCTAGATCTGAAGATCGCAACTTCGATCAACTTGTCGGCTGTTTGATTACCGTCGCGAGGAACATGCTGGAATTGCACGTTACATTCTTTTTTCTCTAACACACGAATGTGTAGCATGACTGAAGGTGTGCCTTGCCTGACAGTTTTGCTTTTGATCAGGCGGATCGCATCCAGACTGTCTATCTCTACTTCAAGCTGTGTGAACCCTAGATCCCATGCTTTCAACATTCCAATATATGCTCTCCCATAGCTATGGTTCCAACACCGAGATTCTTCAATGAACTTGTATAATCTTATAGTCCATTTTTCACTATGGTTCCTTATGATGCCTACACGTTGCGTTGCCATTCGTTAAATTCCGGTTGGCGTCTATGTTAACTTTATACTCTTCCATCATTTTCCTATCTCTTGATTTTTGTTTTTTTAATTGATATCGTTATTTTATTTTTGCAAAAAATTAAAAATAAATTTTTAAAATTATAATTTTTATGAATGTGAAAATTTTAAAAATTAAAAATTGGAAAATATAAAATATTTAAAAATATAAAACTTAAACATGTAAAATTTGCAAAAAATAGTTTAATAATTGTATACATATAAAACAAACTTTAAAAACTAAAGAATCTAAAAAATTGGAAAGCAATTAAATATTATTTTAAAAAGTAAAAGTTGTAAAAAATATAATAATTGTAAAAAAAATTGAGAAAGTTTAAAATTATATATATATATATATATATATGAGGGAAAAAATAAATCTCTTACGCTATAACTTTTTTTCCATTAAATAAATAATTTTTAATCATATTTTAAGTTTTCATGATCATGATCAATAAAAATAAATTAATTAATCGCAAAAAATATTTGCGAGTTAAAAAATATAAAAAATTATAGTTGTGATCATGACGATTGTTTAAATCTTTGGGGGGTAAAATATTGTTAATCACTTTAATTTTTTATAATTTGTCCATTCAGAACTGTTAATTGTATCTCCATATATCATCAAAAGATAAAGAAGATTTGATGACAAGGAATTTAATATTTTTTATACAAAAATTTGAATCCAACCTTAATTAGTCTCCAACATGATAGAAATTCATTGAATGGACATCGAAGATGGTAGGAAAAAAAAAAAAGAAGCTAAAGTGTATGGCATTTTCTTACAATTTTTGAAATCTCACATAATATGATCCAAAATTTCTAAAAATTAATTTTGGTCTCTAAATACATCAAAAAATTAGTTTTGAATTCGGGTGCAATATATTATATAATAGTCACTACATCAGTTATAAAGATAACTATGTATGATCTATAGACTTGAGATCATCATTACCTAACTTCGTGAGTTGCATATTTTAATATAGTAAAATGTTTATCATAACTAGTTGTACCATAAAAATTTATGTTTGATATATATCATAATTCATGAGTGAGATATGGTGGATCAATATAGGATTTGTCCCTCCTACGTAACAAGAGCAATATCTTAAGCCAATTGATTGAGTGAGACTAAAAATATATGCTCATGCTCGCAATGATAGAACCACGTGGGGGCAAAGAGGGACATGACCAATCTCAACTTTTATAATTTAATTGTATTTTAAGCCCTTAAAATTTTTGAAGCCATTAAAATTACTTTTTGTTCTAATTACTTTTTAAGTCTTACCTCTAACCTTTTTGTTTTAATTACCTTCTAGGACATGTCAACTTTGAAATTAGTTAAATTAAGCCTCAATCCTCTATTTTTTTAGTTTAATCACCTTTTAGAACCTTGTTAGTTTCAAAGATAAGCAACTTGGCTCCTCCAATAATTTCATCCTAGCTCCGCCCTTGCAGGGGCGGACCCAGGACAAAAATTCAGGGGTTGCACAAAAAAATTCTTATAAAGTTTTTTAGGGGTTGCACAATATTAAAGGTGATACTTGTATTAATTAGAAAAAAATAAAAAAAAATTAACACTAAGTAGACAATTTTATTGCACAAAATTTTTTTTCTATAAGAATTTAACTGAAATATGGGGATTCTACCTAAAAATCACAAAATATATATATAAAATTACTAAAATAATATCATTTGATCAATGTTCCTCACAATTTGAGGGGTTGCCCAGGCTACCCCTGGCAACCCCCTGGATCCGCCCATGCGCCCTTGCATGCTCAAATAAGTTGATATTAGATATTATACTTATTCATTTATTGTAGTCTACTTAGGATATCAAGAAACATTAGATGAACTATACAAGTGTGACTATTTCATGAATTGTGTCCAATTTAGATTCGAAGAACAAAAGAATTTGATGCATGAAAAATTAATCATAGAAAGATTATCTAGAACCAAGACTTCCTGTAACTTAGGTAGAAAGGATGCATTGCTAGATGTTACACATTATTTGCAATATAAGAATTGTTCTAATACTACTATTAATGTTACATGAACTTATAAGGATCACAGCTTAGAGTTGAAATAGACAATCATTAATTGAATTATTTATATGTACAAACTTGTTGTACAAGAAATTGAATTTAATTAAAACTAATATGTATTGATGCGTATTGAATTTTAACTAATATATATATATATATTATATATTATGGATTAAAATAAGGGAAATGGTAAACTAGGCAGGCCAATTATGCCATATGCAAAAAATGTCAATCATAATATTCAAATAATTAATGAGCACTGACACGAATATTAATTAAAACTAAAATCAAGCATATTAGAAAAACAAAGAAGAAAACGAGAGCTAAAATGGAAGTTGATAAAATAGTGCCAAATATTAACAAAATAAAATAAAAATAACAGTAATAGTGACCAAAATAGGATAAACAGAAGTAAAGAGCATAAATTAAATGGCTGAAATTAAATTACTAAAATTAATGGACATAAATTAAAATGCAGAAAATTTAAAGTTCTGAAATTTAAAGAACAAAATATGAAAGTGCAAGAAAATAAAATGTTAGGGGTTAGCATTGAAATAAGTCACTGGGTTAGAATAAGAATTAATAAAGTTAGAGGGTTAGAAATGCAATAAAAAAAAAGATGGTGACCACAATGTAAAAAGCGCTAAACACGGATGATCTAAACATGAATTCCCCCTAAAACATGTGGCCAGAATGCAAAGATGCTAAAATAAGGGGGCCTATACGTGATACCTCTTCTTAACACAAATATCCCCCTTTCCATATCAGCAAAAAGAGACTCAAACCCTAAACTTTCTCTCCACCCTCTACACCCAACCCACGCCGGCCGAGCTAAGGCGGCGCTCTTACTCTGTAAACGGTGGCCAAAGTATGGGGGTCGAAGTGACCACCCAAAGCAGCACCTTTCTATTCTCCTCTCCCCATTCTCATTACAAAGGCCGGAAAGGCCTAGAAAGCCTCTAATGCCGCCGCCGTTTGGCGCTCCTCCGCCCACGGGCCACCACCAAAGGTGGCCGACAACTCCATCTCAGCCAAGGTTGAAATAAAAACAGCCCCTTTCCCTAAATAAAAAAAAAAACGGAGCCTCTCCTACAAAAGCTAAAACTCTCGCCCCTCCAAACGGCCGAAAGGTCGCCGGCTCCGACGCTCCCAACGCCGGCTAACAACCGACGAGGGCTCACTCGCTAGGGTGAATGATTCTCCTCCCTCCTCCCTTTGGTTCACGCTCAAGTCCACAAAAGAATGGAAAAGGCAAAAACGAAAAGACTCCCAAAAACCTTTAGAATTTTTTACTCTCAATGGATTTTTGAATCTGTTTCTTTGATTGATTTTTATTTGTTTATTACACCTTGGTCTTTTTTTTTTTTTACATGTTGTATGATAATAAGGCCTAAAAAATTCTATCTTTGTCTTGACAGCATCTTGCTTTCCTTTTGCATGGTTGCCAATTTGTTGTTGATTTGGTGCAGGAGCAGCAGGTGGCAGAGGTAGCAGCTGATATGAAGGGCGTATGTTCCTTTTTGTTTTTATTTTTGTTTTACTTTTTTTTATTTCTTTTAAAAACATGTATGAGTGGGAAAAATTGGTGACCAAACAATAACCCAAAGTGTTATTTATCTATAAGAAATTTCAACGCTATTCTTGCGTGAGTCAAATATTTTGAGTTGCATCAAATATGAAATACAAGACTTGAATGGATAGCGAAAGTGAAAGTTAAAAGCAAGTGGATGGAATTGAACGCCTACCAAGGGCTTCAAACTTGTTCAGTCTCTGTGTCTGACCGCCGGAGTACGAAGCGGGCGGACCTTAGATTAGAAGCCACCATTCAAGTCCGATCAAATTAAAACCAGGCTGCTTAGGTAAATGATTAATGCATTAGTGAGATCAAGTTTTAGTCAAAAGTCAACTTATTTGCCAAATATCATCAAGTAAATTAGCCTCCCCTAACTTCCTATTTCCTTCAATATTGGGAACCCTATTAGTAAATATTCATTATCAACTATTATTTATTATTATTACTATTTTCAAATTGACAATCATATAAAATGTTATCACAATGAACAAACATATTTTTGGTCAGGTGATCAAACTGTTCATCGTTATTCCTTCGTATTCATTTACGTAGGATTATTATTAGATTTAGAATTTGTCAACAAAGAAAACTATCATGAAATATTAATACGTAGATCGTATAAATTTTAAATCATTGATTTTATATATTTTAATTCTAAATCCGAAATAAAAGAAAGAAATCTGCAGAGAAACTTTAAACCTAATTTTCTCTATGAAGTAGTTCTCTAGTTTTTCTTTTAAAGTATCGTTGTCTCTCTTTTTCTTTTTTCTTATTTTTCCTTTGGTTTGGATCTAAATAAACATCCTCGTTTTGATTTCTTTTTTGTTTTCACACATTTTTGAAGTGTTTGTTCATGTCTGTTTTTATGACATCACGGTTATTTGTCTACTTTTATGATATACTTTATCAGTCATTTTGATAGTTTGGACGGCACATCTCCTGATCAGGAAATGTTTGCAATGTCTACTTAGATTCCTTTTACGACAGTTTGTCGATACATTCAAAATTGTTCAGGAACAATCTGTTAGATTGATTCTCTCAATCTTAACACCTACATCGATAGCATTTAATACGGGGAGTGATATTTTCTAGGTTTTTTCTATAAACAAATATTGATTTTATTGTTCTTATCTTTCTTTGGGTTTTCATTTTGTGATTATGTTTCCTTTATTATATCTTGTCAATTTGTTTAATTGATGAAAACTTAACTTTTCGTTAAAAAAATATAAATCCTAAAATTTATATTTTAAACTTTAAATAAGTTATATACTATTTCTTTCGACAAATTCTAAATCTAATTTTAGTCTTATCTAGAGGGAAAAAGAGGAAACTGTAAAAGAAGGAGAGTGCTTTAG